CGGGGAGCCTGTTTCCCTTCCTCTCTCTCTGCCTGCCTCTCTGCCTACTTGTGATCTCTGTCTGTCAAATAAATAAAAAAAAATCTAAAAAAAAAAAAAAAAAGATGTCCTCCTGTGCAACTCACCCACCCTCTCCCATTTGAGTTTGGTGACTCAGAGCTTGTGTGTTGTCACAATATGGACAATCAGAAGGACTTTGTGAAATGAGAAAGGCTGGGACAATGCTGTAGGGGACTCTTGGCTCTATTAAATTACATGGGGTATTGGGATGCTATGCCATGGGTTGATTCTTAAAGGTGGCTATTTCTTCAGCAGCCTGATCAGAATTCAATATGAGAATGAACAGAATCTGGGGGCTGGAAGGGAAACTGAGACCTAGAGCAAAGAGGGAATGTGTAGAAGTCTCATGGTTAACACGCTGGCCTTTCCTGGCCTGGATACTTACTAAGCATCGGGTTTAGAAATGATCTGGAGTAATCATTTTGTTCTGTGTATGTGAAAACAGGTCTTGCAACACCAATGACTTGCCCAAGGTCACACAGCTTGTTGGCTGAAGACTAGGACTATACCCCAGTACTCCTGACTCCTCTTCTTAGAATACCTCATCTACCCCAAGGAGACCTTTCTGGACTAGTTTATTTTGATAGTTGGTGGGGCCTTGATAAGGACTGAAGAGGAAATGTTAAAAAAAAAAAAAGGGACCAAAGGAATAAAACAGAGCTCTCACAGACCTCAGTGTTCCCTGTGTGTGTGTGTCGGGCGGGGGGCGGTTCCTGTCTCTTTCTCTGATACCATCCACACTAGTCCTTCCTCCTCCTTCAAGGGGGGTGTGCTTTTTGGGGGTGGCCTCCGAGGAGTGGCTCAGGGCCTCTGCTTGGCCTCCTCTGCACCCACTTCCAGGGGCTCAGGTCCACTCACATCACCACTGCAGCTCCTATGACCCGCAGTCGCACCTGTGGCTGGCCGTCCAGCCCTGGACTTGGCGTTCTGTTCCACAGCTGGTTCTAGGCTATTTCCATATGTAAATATGTTGAGCTCGGCTGCAAATCAAATCTGGCATTCATCTTCCCTCTGAAAACCTGCAGCCCTGTTCTGACACCCCGTTTCCTTCGGTGAATCCCGGAGACTCTCGGTCCTCTGGACTCAGATCTGACAGATCACCAGAGGCTGGGGTGGGAGGGCGGGGGAATGGGGACTCAGTGTTTAATGGGTCCAGAGTTCCAGTCTGGGAAGCTGAAAATGTTCTGGAGATGGATGGTGGTGCCAGGATTAAAAACTACAGAACCAAACCAAACCGCCTCCTGAGTGATCCTTGACCTGTGGCTCCTTCCCTCTCTCCTCCTGGACTCGCTCTGTGACAACGTCACGCTGATTTTTCAGTTCGCGCTTCAGATATTCGTATCCTCCAGCATCACCGAGAGAGTGATCAGTGCTGGAACCCCTCTCCCCTCTTTAGTCTGGGAGTGGGGCCTAGAATCTGCATTTAAAGGAACTTCCTCTCCTACCTCAAGCATATGGATTGCAGACCACACTTAGAGAAACAACCTCTTTCAGTGTCTCTTGGTTTTGTCCCTTTGTCTCCTTTCCAGGACCCCTGTCCCTGCCCCCGGCTGGCCCTCATCACCTCACACCTGGATTACAGCAACAGCTGGCCTGTCTTCGGCTAGCCTTTCTCCGCTCCAGCATCTCCAGCTGCCAGCACCCATCTTCTGCAAATATCTTTGGCATCACATCACCGCCCTGTTTAGAAGCCTACCATGGCTCCCTCAGACCTAGTAGATCCTATCTCAATTCATTTGGCTGGGAGCCAGCCAAGCTGGCCTCCCATCTTCCCTCTTACCCCTTCCCTGTCTGCTCCCATCCCTCCACGGAGGCCTGATGCTCATGTTTAACCTCACGTCAGCCCCTCCGCTAGTTTGAGGTGTTCTCCTTTCTACCCATCCCCGAAACACTTCTGCTTACACAGAAGGAATTCTGACAATTGTGAGGATTCTCTGGCCCCTTTCTCAATGTATCTGTCTCCCCTCCTCACCGATCCTGGCTCTGCCACCACTGGCTCTGTGAGGTCATCAGGCAAGTCGCTTCCCCTTTTCCTGCCTTAGTGTTTTCATTTTCCCATCTGCAAGATGGGGGGATTTTACTGGTACATTCTCACAGGTCTGTGGAAAGGACTCAAAGGGGCAAAACACGTAAAAAGGCTTAGAATGGTGTCTGGCCCAAAGTGCGGGCCATGGAAGTGTTTGCTATTATTACTAATTATTGGGATTATGGCCCCTTCCAGCCAGCTTCTCCCTGGAAACCACTTCTGCTCAGAATAGCTACCTGAAGGAGTTCTCTGTCAAGCCTTGCCTGATCTAGCAGAGGTGGTTAAATATTAAGCATTTGGGTTCCAGTGTGCTTCTCTGCATGAGACAACCTGAGGAACGGGGCTGTCTACAAAGCTCTAATTACGTTCATTAATTTCTAACTGACTAGGAGGAGAGGGGGTGAGATTTGAAAGCAAGAGATTTTTCCAGAATATGGACGATGATGTTAGGGCCATTTCAAAATAGCCTAAAGGGACAGCGGGCTGTGGGCGTTCTTTCCTATGATCTTTCTAGAATCCTCCTCCCTCTACTGCAGTTCCAACCGCCCAGCTTCCTGATCTGCTTGCTCCCCTGGGTTCCTTCTTGGAGCCCAATCAGGAAAGCCTCCCTCTGTGGTAGTTCCCAGCCCGAGAACTTTGCACCTTATTCCCCAGTAGTCCTTGTCTGTAAATAATCTACCGCCCACATTTCTGTTCTACTTTTCAGATCCACCTCTCTGCTTTTGTGGGCAAATTCAATGAATTCCTTTAAAAGCACCACTGAATTCAGTCACTGTTTGTTACTATGTGTTCCCCTCCCCGCCCCCACTGAACACTCAAAGGTCAACTAGGGTTGGGGGAAGTCTGAGCACATTTTTGACATTTTCCTAGGGTCCCTTGCTGTCATGGAGGCTGGGAACCACTGCTCCATGGTGGGAGTAACACTAAGCTCTCTGGCTCTCGGTTTCCCTGTCTGTCAAATGGACGTAAATTGTAACTGCCTCTTTTTCTAAGGTCAAGAAACAGAATGTTCCGCATTCACAAGGAGGGGCATGGACCGGCGTGGGGAGGGCCGCGGGCGTGGGGATCAGATGAGATAAGAGATAGGAAGGTTCTGGAAGAGGAGGCATGCCCAGGCAGGGGAGCGTTAGCACTGCTGTTCCTCTGGTTCTTTTCCTTGTTCTGGGTCCAGCTGGACCAGCTGAGCCCAGAACCCCAAAGCCCGTGAAGGTCCTTCCAGGAGCAGCGTGTTCTTTTTGCCGTTCCCCACCCCTCCTTGGTCTTCTGTGGAACAACAACACGGCGCTGCTCCTGGATGTGACTTAACAGCCACAAAGTTCCTCTTATCTAGTCGAGCAACCACTGTGGCCTCAGAAGCTGTAGTGTTTGTCTCTGTTTAGTCTCGGTTGCCTAGGAAACAAAGCTGTTCTCTCTTTCCCACTATGAGACTGCAGGCCAGTTTTTTCCCCTTTCTCTT